GCGAATTATCTGATGTTTGCTTAATGGAATGGACCCCCACCACCTTGCGTATTTTGATTTCGTGACGATTACGCACACACTTGGTTGTGAATTATTTGATGTTTGCTTAATGAAATGGACCCCCACCACCTCCACCCTTGGTGTCGTCCTGCGCTATTTTCGCATATCTGGCTGCCCTTGTCGAAATCTGCCTTTTTCGCCCTTACTAGCATATGGACGAACAGTGTTCTACCCTGCCGCGTTTGGGTTCGCCCCCGCGCCTTGCAACCCGCCCACGGTATGCCGACGGTTGATGTCGGAGCAGCATGGATATGACATGTCGTATTCATGCGTCTCTCATGTGACACACACATGCTACACACCAGGGAGGACGAGTTTCCTCAATCGCTGTCGGGGGGTGCCCTCCCTGACCATGTTGTGTGGCTCTTACTGCGGCGTTTTTTACGCTGCTGCGTGGACATGGGTGACGGTCGTGGCCATAGGGTACAACGGGATTCGTCTGAACGTCGGGGGTGACGGCTTCGGGGTTTTGAAGGAGCAGGGCATGAGAAGGGTATGTGGTAATTAGTGAATATTGACGAAAATCTCTTGGGTAGTCGGTGCATCTGCCATGTCATACTGCTTGTTCCGTCCAGGCTCGTCATTTAACTTCTTTTGCCCTATGTGCATGGTCGTGCGTGTTGCGACGTTTTTTGTGCCAGATATGCATCCTGTCTTTTCTCACCCCCCCGCCCCCCATCTGACCCCCTCCGCTCCCTTTCCCTTTTTCCCTAACTTCCTCCACCCACGGCCTCCCTTCGGAGGCGCTCTTCCACCTTCTCCTTTGGCTCGAATGTTTCCCTTTGCTTCTCCCTTCTGTGTCCTCTTTCTTTTCTCTGATTTCTTGTTCCTTTTTCGTCTTCTCTCCTCTCCTCTTTTTTCCTTTTTTCCTTTATCCGGCGCCATTGCTTCTTGCTCTCCTACTCCTGTGGTTGTTTACTGGTCGCGTTCCTTTCCTGTTATATCCCTTCATGTGGTCTTCCCGATCGATCGCTTCGCTAGCCCCCCCCAAAAGAGGCGACCCCCGGGGGATGGTGGAATCAGATCACGTTTCGATACCCATGGCTGACAGGGTGTAGCTGCCCTGCAAAACCTACACAGGCGCTGTTTGCATGTGTCAACCCCGGCGTCATCGGCGCTATCAAGGAAAAATGGGACACCGGCAACTATCCTCATTTTTTTGACATGATAGGTTTTAGTGACCTTGCTGTCCTTGCGGGTGCTTGGGATAAGAACAGGGAGGAGTTTGATGACGAGCTTAGGATCCTGTGCGAGAAGTTGGAGTTAAGGAAACAGAAATACACGAAGGAGTGTAGGGAACTCGCAGGGAGGGCGGCGAGGGTCGAACAAATCTTCTTGAGAATTTGGGGGTTGGATGACTCTCACCTAGAGAGTAAGGTACCCGAAACCCCTGATTTTAATCCTCCCGTCAATCACAACACTCCTGCCACACGCTGCGATGATCTCGCGATTGAGGAGGAGGAAAGGATTGAGATGGAACTGGCGATTGCCGCCATTACGGCCTCCATCCGGGATTCTCCGCTCACGACTGAAAGGGTAGGAGGTAGTGCGTTGGAACGTGATCAGTACACCGCGTTTGCACCTCTCGCATCTGCTTTTTGGTTTGAGCATACGTCCACTGGCCACAAACACGCGATATGGAAAATGGACACTTTCAACCATCTCGCACCGATCTCCATACGGGCATTCCAGTTTCTGGGGAACATCACGGACGAGCAGGTTAGGCAATGCATAAAAGGGAAGCTGAAATACTGTGGCAGGGTTACTTTTCTGGACCCGCAGGATCTCAAGTTCCCCCCTATGCACGAGTTGGATCCGGACAAGTGTGGGGAGTCCAGTTCAGACATGTGGCAGAAGGGCATCAGGTAGGAAGGCAAGCCGGAGCTCAGGGCTTTGAGGAAGGTGTGGAGTGTAGGACGGCCTTACTTGAAGTGTAAGTGCAAGAGAAAAAAGAACAAGGACTGTGGGGATACGCCTCTTTGGTTTGATCACGCGATCTGGTACCTATTAGCACATTCGGACATTCTCTTCCCAACTATGTCCTCGATCAAAGTCCGCACGTCGATGCTTATACACTATCTTAGGACTACCTGGAGGGATGGTGTGCTTGCGGCGATCGGTTTCCACTTCCTCAGGGACCTGATGATCGGCTTCGTTAAAGAACTTGAGGCCGACGCAACCCTAAACGCCGAGAGCATACTAAAGGAGGATCGCCTCTGGAATTACCCCATCCCGGCTGCGCTCGCACGAATTATGCTCCCAACACGGATTCCTGAGAAACCATCGAGATTCCCGCTTGCCTCTCCACGAGCTGCGGCGAGAAAGAGGGGTGTAGGGGCGCAAGTTTTGGGCCAAACCACGCTGAACTTTCAGAGGGTCCGCCCTGCGGAGGGCGCTCCTTCTTCCCCGCCGCCTCCTCCTCCTCCTCCCCCTTCCCCCATGCCTCCTCCTCCTCCTCCTCCCCCCCTTCCACAGCAACCTCCGGTAATGATGGCCACGGGGAATGGACCGGTGGCGAATGAGCCGCGTCTGGCTGGCGCTGCTCGCGATCCTCCTCCAGCAGGGGGGCAACGAGCGGTCCCACTGCCTGCTGCTTGGGCACCAGTTCTTGCCTCCCCTGTCCCTTCCGTTCATCACCCCCTGATGATTATCAGAGGGCTCACCCCACCACCGGTCATCCACATCTCGCCAGGAAGCTCCGCGCAGTCCACACTCACCCAGCCTGATAAGAGAAGGAGAAAGAACGCGGGTGGTAGGGGTGGGGGTAGGGGTGGTGCTTCCACCGCCGACAGGCGCTCCGCGAGGGCGTGATATCTTTAAGTCACAACCCTCCTTTCCACCCCTTCTCACGTTTCCTCTCTTCGTACATCCCCTCTGCTGGTAATTTTTCCTCTCGATTCTTTCATATTCCCTTCTTTGATGATGTATGTTTTTTCTTTCTTTTTTTCTTTCTTTTTTTTTTTTCCCCAACACACTCCGTATCTTGTACATTGAGCGCAGGATCCAAGCTGCTGGGTTGACGCTCCCGGCCAGATGGTTACCCTTCCGAACGGCAGAAGAGCATGGAAGAGACAAAAGTCGGAGTGTGAGTTTTTTTTGCACCTGAGGTATACCAGCCGCGTCATGGAACCGCGCTCGATCCGGAAGCTTCTCAATGAGGTCCTTAGTAGGATTATTGGTGATGACACGGCGACTTGGTTGGAGCGTACCAGAATCGGCTGGACCTACAACTGCAGCACAGCCTCAAAGTTGTGCAGACCGGTAGAGGTTTTCTGTGAATTCGACGTAGCACGCTGGATGGACAGCTATGATCCGGAGCACTGCCCCTGCAGGGCGCAGAGATATGCGGACATGAGCAGCACATGGTCAATCGAGCTATACTCCAGAACGAAGGCTGCACGCACGTCATTACCCTGGATTCGTCCATTACGGACAATCCATCGCTTCAGGGGATCATCAATGCTGGCCTCAGTCATATCCCCTGCATGGCCCTAGATGCGGATGAGGCAACCACCGAGCTGGGGAACTTCTTGGACGATCTTTTTGCACGGGTGTTGGAACTGCGCGAGCTCATTGACTCCACCAAGTCGTTTTTGCGCAGGGTCATCCTGAAGAAGGCAAAAGGGAAAATGGAGAAGTATCGCATGGCGCACAGACACGCTACTCCGGAACCTTTTGAGCATCCGACGGTTAAGAAGGAGCTGGAGTTCTTGACGCACAGATTTCTCATCTGCCCAACTGATAAGGCCCCTAACACCCCGGCCTTTGTATGCAAGAACTTCATCCGGAAGCTCGCCTTCCAGAGGTTGTCCGGACCGGAGTTCGCCTGCGTCAACGCCTCTCTCGCGGCGATCCTTCGAGCATACGTGGTGAGCTCTCCGCATTCCCCGCACTTCCTGCGGCGCCTGCGACGCTTCCGTACCTCATGACGATGCTGAAGGCGCACAAGGGCACCTTTCGGTGGATCACGAATACCGCCAACACCGTCATCTCGCCTGCGCCTGAAGTATGCGCCTGCCTGCTACGATTCCTACTTCCGCTTGTGCAAACTTTCTGTCTGGAAAGGAGCGTGGAGGTGCAGCAGCAACACGGGGTGAAACCCAACCTATGGTGGGCCATAAACTCGGTGGGCGAATTCTGCGCGAACTTACCTGAGAGAGTCTACTCGGTGTTCACGGCCGATATTACCAGGTGCTTCGAGACCATCCCCACGGACGGCTCCGAGGACAGTCTCTCGGCGGCTGTCAGATTCTATGTGCAGTGTGCAATGCGGGTCAGGAGGGAGAGAAGCTCTAGCCACGCCATCCGGATCAGGTTTGGAGGGAACGGCAATCCTTGGTCGTCGTGGGCGGATGCTGATCAGCCGGAGGAGATGGGGGCGCTGCTATTCAAAGAAGAGGACATCTGCTGGATTACGGACTGGTGCATTGCAAACAGCTTGCTGCGCATGGGAGATTACGTGTGGAGGCAGGTGAGGGGCATTCCCATGGGGTTGGCATGCTCTCCCATCTGGTGTGACATACACTTTTTCAAGTATGAGTATCACGCCATGATGAGGTTTGTGGACACAGGGAATGTCCACTTGATCCCATGCTTTGACAACACCTGCAGATACATTGACGATCTGGGAGCGGTTAACAACACAGTCATCGGTGGGTTTCTGCGCAAGAAGGAGGACAGACAGGCGGATGATCCATGCTGGATATATCCGGAGGAATACATCGAGATAAAGGAGAATACGGAGGTTAGTGAGCATGGAGTCGGGCTGGTTGCTAATTTCATCAGTATAACAGTTACCATCACCTGCCCCATCACCGGCGCTTACTCCACCACCAAGCATGACAAGCGTGCTGGACTCGGTTTTTCTCCCTGTAAGTTCATAAAGTACAGATCTAACAGGAGCGTCAAGCAATCGTTGCAAATCATTATGGCGCAGGTGGCACAGATTCTCCTACTATGCTCTGAGCCGGAGGACGCAGCAAATGAGATCGCAAAGGCCGTGACAACAATGACGGAGAATGGTTTTTCTGCGGAGTCCTGTTGGAAGGTGGTCAAGAGGACCCTCCGGAGGGCGCATATCTACCAACCGGGTAGATTATCGGTACACGTGGTTAAGGAGGCCCTTTCCAATCTATATGTGATTACTGACTAACGTGTTGTGATTGTGTCTGTGTATGTGCGTTTGTGTGTGTATGGTGTCCGGGGGATGACCTGGCCAAAGGGGCCGGTTGTCCTTCGGGCATCCGACCCCCACGGCCCAGGTTATCCCTCAGAGGGTACGGGGTGGGACACACACACACACACACACACACACACACACACGCATACAGGTGGAGGCACGACACAGGGAGCAGGAATATGGCCGTGAGGGAACACTGCTGGAACCACGGGAATGGAACTCCCCCTCCTTTTTTGTTTTCTTTTATGTGTTTCCTTGCTTTTTTTTTCTTTTCTTTCTTTGTTTCTTTTTCTTTTTTCTTTTTTCTTCTTTTTTTCTTCTTTTTTTGGTTTCCTTCTACTTCTTTTCCTATTTTTCTTTTTTTGATACTTTTTTTGTCTTTTCCCTTTTTTTCTTCTTTCTTCTTTTTTTGCATTACACAGCTGAGCGGATGTACAGCATAGGTTGATTGTTTCGCTGCTCCTTTCTRARGATAAATAAAGGSCCCCCCCGCGATAACGCTCCAGTCCTCTGGGGGAGYTGGTTCCCAGGACTCACAGCGGGTGYGAGARTAAGGGTGCGTATAGGYCTTAAGAGTAGCTCACTCTTAGACTAATGCGTGATGGGGGTCGGYCGGCGCGACTGCGCTAATTTTTTTCTTTTTCTTTTTTCTTTTTTCTTTTTTCTTTTTCTKTTTTCTTGGTTCTTTTTTCTTKKTTCTTTTTTCTTTTTTTSCTTTTTTTGTTTTCCTTTTTTTGGCACGATCCTTCATCTGGCGCCCGTCGGATGGATGCATTAGATGGTTGGATAGGATAGCTGGCTTTCATTAGAAGCACGCTGCATAGCTACTATATTAGGACTAAGGATAGGCGATGGTATTCATTGATTCACCGTGATGACTTGCATTGTCGGCGGGCGGAACGCGGTTCGACACGACCTTTGTGGGAGATTAGCGTAGCTTTTTTTGCGGCATGGATTTCTTCGGCGACTGGGACCAGGAGGAGGAGCAGCGAGGGCAGGAGGAAGTGGTAACACTCCTAGTATAGGCCCCTTCTCCTTCCASATCGCACCTCGGCCTTACGCCATGCAGACGGATGCGACGTGCCCCGTCGAGCCTCATCCGCTCCACCAGTGCTCATTCGCGCCGGCGCTCAATGCGTACTTGGGCCTGCTGTTGTTTTTTGCGCTGCTCCCCRACATGGCCATAGCGGCACTGCTGTGCATCGCATGCCTCTCAGAAAGAGTGTTTTTGCATACCTCATCTAGGAGCTTCGCGCTGCTCATTGCTTGCACCATCATCTTCGGAGCTCTATTGCTTGCTGGCTGCTGCTGCCTATTCTTTGCCCTTGGCTCTGCTCGCTGGGTGGGCGCGATCGCTGGATAGGAGCGGACAAGGAGCACTATGGAGTCCAAGGCTGCTACAGGAGCATCGTCTCACATTTTTTTAGCCTTTCTCGCCTTCTTATCTGTTCTTTCTTTCCTCTATTTCATCTACTCCCTCCCCCCTCCCCCTCAATATGATCTTTGTCCCCCCTGCCCCGCCCTCTCTCCCCCCTTGAAGGTCCCCCACCCTCTTGACCGTCCTTCGTCCTCCTCTCGAAATACCCCCACGCACCCCCCCTCAACCCCCCTGCCTTCCAAAGACCATGGGAGATGTCCCCCCCTCTGATGACGCCCCAGATGGCATGGGGCAGAAAAGCGCTTCAAGGACTTGCCATACCCTTCCTACAATCTGGCGAGATGGTCCGTGTGGACACAGGAGCACCTTGGACCTGGAGGATAGAGCTGGAGTAGGATGTTTTCTTCTTTTCTTTTTTTTTTCTCCCTTGTCACYGTCGCCGCCCTTCCGTTTCTCTCCTTACCCTTTCCCTCTCTCCTTCCCGGTCCTTTTAGGATGACGACGTGGCGGATCGCAGCTGCTTGCTACTTGTAATTGGAATAGTAATTGTTTCGAACATTTTGAGATATTTTTTCGCATATGACTCTTTCTATCTTGAGAATGCATTGTTTGCGGATCGTTCATTGTTTCGTATCTTGGGTGATTCGTCCTCGACCTATTACATCTGTTGTTATCTCCCTTTTTCCAAAAAGGTATCCTCCTCCCTTCTTGTTCTTCACCTTCTTCCTCCCGTTCCCTTCTTCCTCTCTGTACCTTTGTGTATGTTGGATTCATGACGTCACGCACACACTTGATTGCGAATTATCTGATGTTTGCTTAATGGAATGGACCCCCACCACCTTGCGTATTTTGATTTCGTGACGATTACGCACACACTTGGTTGTGAATTATCTGATGTATGCTTAATGAAATGGACCCCCACCACCTCCACCCTTGGCGTCGTCCTGCGCTATTTTCGCATATCTGGTTGCCCTCGTCGAAATCTGCCTTTTTCGCCCTTACTAGCATACGGACGAACACTGTTCTACCCTGCCGCGTTTGGGTTCGCCGCCGCGCCTTGCAACCCGCCCACGGTATGCCGACGGTTGATGTCGGAGCAGCATGGATATGACCTGTCGTATTCATGCGTCTCTCATGTGACACACACATGCTACACACACACACACACACACACGTCAGCCTTCCATACTAGTGACATGTCAGCAACATGCCATGTGTCGTCAATGCTTCCAGGAAGCTGTCATAGAAAGTATGTGTCTTTACTGCGTGGACTATCCCCGGTGCCATCACCCTCCACATCCTCTCCTCCCGCATGCGGCATTGGTCATACACCTACGGCAACCCCTGACGGATCTCCCTCTTTCTTGCCAGACGAACGGCGAACACAGCAGTCCGAGGAGCAAAATAGACTTCTATATGAGCCACCGACAGAGCGATGTGCTCATAGTTTATCACCACCAGGGCGGGCTGTTGCGGATCATATCCTGCAGCAGCTGAATGCCCTTGCGTTGGACCGATCCTCCCTGTCGTCGTCTGCCCACAGAGAAGGAATACATACTGAGGAAGCCGAAGAAAGATGCTCCATGCCGTTTTGTGATGACCCGCCGGAGATT